TGTTGTATGTAATACAGTGCCTTGCGAAAGTATTCATACCCCTTAATTTTTTTTCGCGTTTTTTGTTATGTTGCTGCCTTTTGTTAAACTGCTTTAAAGTACTTTTTTCCCACATCAATCTGCACTCCATACACCATAATGGCAAAGCAAAAACAGAATTGCCACAACTTCGTAAATTTATTAAAAACAAACAAAAAAACTGAAATAAGTACATTGCATAAGTATTCATACCTAAATATTTTTCTAAACTAAATATTTAGCAGAAGCACCTTTACAGCCTCAAGTATTTTTTTGTTTGTTTGATGCGACAAGCTTTGCACATCAGCATTTGGCAATTATCTGCCATTCTTCTCCTCACCTGTTCACCTCTCAATAAGCCACTCTTGCTGTGTGCTTAGGGTCATTGTCCTGTTGGAAGGTGACCCTTCTGCCCAGTCTGAGGTTCTGAATGCTCTGGACTGGGTTTTCATTAAGGCTAATATTTTGGTGCATTGAGCTCGTCTTCTACTCTGATGTGTCCCTCAGTCCCTGCTGCTGAAAAACAGCCCCACAGCATGAGGCTGCTACCAGCACACTTTACTTTTGGGATGGTACTCTGCAGGTGATGAGCATTGCCAGGTTTCCTTCAAACGTGATGCTTGGAATTAAGGTTCTTGCCAAATCATACCCACTCAATTGAATTTGCCACAGGTTAACTTCACTCGAAGGGTAGTAACATCTACAAGCAATATGAATGCTCCTGAGCTAAATTTCAACTGTCCCAGGTATGAATACTTATGCAGTGGAATCATTTAAGTTTTTTATTTGTATTAAATTGGCAAATATGTTAAAAACCTGTTTTTTGCGTTGCCACCAATAACCTTACACCTACTGAATACACTGACTAGCTTGTCGTATCTTTGGAATAAAGAGCTTTTAGAATGTTAAAAACCTATGGGGAAAAAACAAAACAAACAAAAAAAAAAAATTATTTAACACCCCAAGAAAGTCAAGTTTTAGAGAAGAAAAAAATCACCCACTGACTTTCTACTTTGAGGATCTTGATAGAAATGCAGTGGAGTGAAAAGTACAATATTTGTCTTTCAAATGTAGTGAAGTTAAAGTCATAAGTTTCCAGAAAAAATAATACTCAAGTAAAGTACAGATACTCAAAAAGTGTACTTAAGTACAATACTCAAGTAAATGTACTTAGTTACTGTCCGCCTCTGTTTAGGACAGATAGTGTGCAAATGATTCTGTTTTCAATCTGCTAAGATTTAGTTTAACTTTTCTAATTGCCGGTAATTTTCAATCTGTTGAGGTTCATCTCAGCAAACCAAATTGGTTTAGTGAAGTTAACTAAATGTCAAGTCGATTTAAACAAAACAAACAATTTTTGTGATATATACCCTGCTGAAAAAAACAATAGAAACCATCACAGAATATTTGGTCGCCTTCTATTGCTGGCTTGTTAAAACCACTAAATCCTAATGGAACATGTCCCAAAACACACTACAGGAAACACTTTTTTAATGGTTTTAATGGTTAAAAGTTGATGGTTTGTAATGTTTGTAATTGCATTTGTATTGGAAACCATTAGAATTTCTGTTTTTTTTTTCAGCAGGGTAATGTATAATAAATTCTAAATAATTATATATTAGTTAATGAAAAGTGTTGCATCATTGCAGCATTTACATTTATGGTTGATTTGTTCACGTTGCATCAGATTTCTTTTTACACGCAATTTGCAGTGTTGAGCATTACAACCAATCACACACGTTTCTGTTGAGCTTATGAATGCAGTGGCCAATCAGAGACACTTTGATTCGTCTCTGCAGAGAACGCTGGAGTTGTTCAGTCAGTGCGTGAGCTCACTGTCTGAATTCTCTCATCATCATAAAACAACAAAGGGCAAAAAAGATGTAAGTAAAACATTCATTCTGCAGTGTAGACAGCTTCTGTGATTATAACGGGAGTGTGTTTGCAAAAACTAGACTGAAATGTTCTAATCTGCAAAATGCAACAAACAAATTCATTAACGGTTCTTAGCTTGTTTTCTGCTGCCCCTTTAACTAAAGTGTTCATAGTTCTCCCCACACCACCTGGTTATAGTACAGCCAAAATAACTAACGCAAATACACAAAAGACACAAACCTGCATACTTACCAGGTTTCTTTGTTGCAGTTTGATGCTACTGCAAAGCTTTCTTTATTAATTTATTTTGGCCCTTCTATGCCTATACAACTTATCTGCATTTCTGTATTATTCTGCTGTGACACCTGTGCGGAATAACACAACTGAATAGTCTCTATTGATGCTTCATAAAATCCGCTAATTAAATCACACAGACAATTTCTCTACATAATGTGCATTTCAAAAGATACTGGATATTATATAACCCCGCACTCCTCTTAGAATAAACTGTACTGGCGAAAGCCAGGTACACTTGCAAAGAGTAAACAGACGAAAAGGGCAGTGACCGTGACTCCTACAGCAATTACACTGCCCTGCATGTGCCTTGGCTCCGGGAGATACCACTAACATATCCAACATGTGACACAACCCTTGCAAACCAATATCAAGAGTCCAAGGTGCTATTACTGCCTTACACAATGAGTGCATAATGAAAGCACCAACCATATGTCATAGCATATGTATTTTAATGTCTCATATTACATACACACAGAAACATATGCAGATTCTGAAAAGGTTCTGTTTGCAACCAAAGAGTTTAATTTAATATATTTTCTCTGAATGCAATGCAAAGCCTCTTTGAATTTACATGGGATAAAGACAGAAAGGCAGAATGTGTGTGTGTGTGTGTGTGTATTAAGGCACTTTGTGGTGGTGAGTAAAGGAGGTGACACTTTAACAAGATGCGAGACTTAGTCTAGAGATGACCCTCCAGTTGTGATCCATAAACCCCCTAACTGGATAACAAGCTAAACAAACCAGTCTGCTGATTGGCTGGTTAAACATTTTGACGTCTGTCTCCATAGTTGCTTTCTGCTGAGGTTGACCTGTTGATGGGCAGGACAACTGTGAGATGACCTGTGGGAATATTGTCCATACTCACTTTTACACGTCTTAATGCGTTTACTCCCTGTTCGTATTCTTTACAAGCATTACTAGCCATGATGATTGAGAATCTGTCCAACAGCAATCTGCCCCCCGCTGTTCAAATTACGCTGGGGATGAGATTTCAGTTGCCGCTTTCATCTGCTTTGATTCAATCATTCGCTATTCATCGAGTCTGTGGTTTGACCTATTCTTGTAAAAATGTGTTTTCTTTCACACTGATCTTTTTCATGCAGTCTTTCATTCATTCTCTTGCATGCATCAGTTATCAACATATCGCCATAACTTCACTAACCACTTAGGCATTAGATATTGTATTTATTAAATTTAGTAAGGCTTTTAAAATATAGATCTGTGCTTTGATGTTTACATACAGCTGAGATTTAACTGGTAATTATAACCTTGCATATTTACAGAAAAGCACAATAATTTGCACCCTGAACAACCATTGCATTGTGGCTAGGGAGTTAAGTGATGCAAACAGTTGAATATTTTCCCTTTGACTACATTTTTGGACTTGCAGCTGCCTATTTTGTCGGTATATTTCCGACTAACCGCTTACTGAACACAAAGACCACAGTCATTAAAAGCATCAACAGTGGAAAGTTTTGAAAACAGTAAAGAACAATGCTGAACAATCTGGTCTAGGGGCTGAACTTAATAAAACATTCAAGCACATGTACACTCAGACAAAGCTAAATACAGTCAGTGTTAACTATTTTTTCACATAAAGTAAGTGTTTAGAGGAGTGTTCATCAGATGGGCCAAAAAAAAAACATGCATTGCACTTTAAAGGTTTGGGGTTCAAAAAAGAAATATTAAGCAGCACATCTGTTTTCAGTAATAATAGGAAATGGTTATTAAGCATCAAATCAGCATATTAGAAGGATTTCTGAAGGATCATGTGACACTGAAGACTGGAGTAATTGCTGCTCATTCAGGTTTTCCATTACAGGAATAAACTGCATTTTAAAATATATGAAAATTATCAAATAA